CTAACTCCAATTATCGTATTTCCCGCTTTTTGACAAAATATTTTTTGTTACACTTACCCTAACAAGAACAGTACTCCAGAACATACCTTACCCTAACCATCCAGAACAAATAAACGGAAAGTTCTATGTATGCGGATTTACTACAAATGAAAAAACCAATGTATATGATGTCTATAAAACGAAAACTAGTTGTTTGAATATTAGAAATTGGATATAAACTATCAAAAATGTAAAATTTCAAAAAACTCAATGTTGAAAGATATAACGCACCTGCAGACTATTTAATTTGTAGCACGTTGCTCCAAGAGCGGCCACGTCGTTCTTCTGTGCAGCCAAAAGCGTAGCTGCCTGTCGACTTCTGTCCAAATGGCATTCAGCGGCTAATTCGACTCCCATTTGTTCTGCCCACCTAGAAAACATGGTCACACTCAATATCTTCCCATTCTTCTCTAATTGTGTCAACTAAATACAAGTCATAATGTAAATGGAATTTTGTCTCTGAAGGTAAATATTGAAAAACGTAAAACATGAACGCTAATAAAAAGCTCAGCGGACGTGAAACTGAAAACACCGCAATAGGAAAGGCCAAATACCCGTGAATTGCAGCCAGTCTTGTTTGCAAACATTTTCCAAGACGAGTCGTTAACGGCACCGACTGGAAAATGAGAATAACGATAGGAAAAATTCTCTTAGCTTCTGAATACAACACTCACATTGGACGCTAGCCCAACTAAAGCATTAAACAAGGTTGCGTTAATGGCATGAAGAACATGACTACACAACTGGATCGTCAGCGCAGCGTTCAGACGAGATGCTCGCGCTGCTCTAAGAGTTCCATCCAGAAGAGTGAGCAGTTCATCTGGAAAGAAGATGTCAAGATAAAGGAGAAGTACAAATAAGAAAGGGCGTTCTCAAGAAACTGCTTTTACGAGAAAGAGATTATATTTGAATATACTCTATTTCCTAAAAAAATTATCCTATCAAATGTTTGATTCGCAAATGCAAATACTGCTGAAATGAAACACTAAGCAGATAAACATCAGTTTAGCAAATATCAACTCACTACTTCCATCTTCAATTGGTATGTTCACGTCGAGCATAGGTTTGCATGATGGCCGAAGGGCACCCAGAAGTACTGTACATAGACGACGAAAAACTGTTTCCACTACAGTTCCAAGTTGACCACTTCTTCAATGAGAATTAGGAATTTTTAAGGACAACGTCAATGAAGTACTTTAACAAAATGGCACCTTGGTGTTCTCAGATCCGGATCACGATCTACCAGAAATGAAAGCTCGCTAGCGTTTGCCAACCAGAATAGCAATTCATCACGTGACGTACATTCCTAGAAAAAAGTGAGTATTTCAAGATATACACTTACATAAGGTTTGCATTATAAGCTGAGCCAGCCAGCATCGCACTTAAAACTGGTGTTGACTATAAAAAAGGTGAGCGCATTTACTGGTTAGTCTTACCACTTTATGGGTCATGATAATCCTCTGGTAAAACATGTTGTATAAATTCCTTAAAAGCTCTTGAGAAGTATCCTTGCTAATGCCGCATGAATGTAAAACGCTCTAACGCATTGAATTATATAACTCTAGCACGTACAGAAAATAAGGTGTGAATAAGTTTTCTGGAACCAAAAGTTTTTGTGGTTGCAAGGCCCACATAAAGAAGAACTTTTTTTAATTGTGATTTTAGTATATTGTTAAAATGTTGTATCACACTCCTTCAAATAATACACTACCAGCGCTGAAAATTGAGTGCAGCCGGATGCAACGATGAAGACGGCTAAGTACTAGAATAAAAAAAATGCTCCACCAAACTCAGCCCTTCTGCATACGGAACTTCATCCAGATACTGATGTATCTAATCTAGTTCCTGGTCCAAAGATTAAGCAGCAGTAATGATCTGCGAACGGAGAGCAATTATTAGTGCGCAAAGGAGAAACACTTCGTTCAGGACTATTTCATGAATTCAAATTAAGAAAAATGTGAAGAGAGATATGAGAGATATAGGATAACAAAAAATACCCCGATGGAACATTTGGCAGAAATTATTATTTAAAAAATTACTTCAATAATAAGCGCTTCAATCATTCCAATAACAACCCATTCGTCACTCATGCAAAAATATTTTCACGCTTCTAGGAAGAAAGTTGTAAAAAGGAAATTTAGAGCTACAGTCATTGTGATTACAGCTATATGATGCGGCTAACTTATCTTTTTCCTGTTGTTTTCTTCATGAGCGCAACCTCTGGGAACTTAATGTTAAAAGAAAGCATTAGATGATAGCTTCAAAACTTATGCCTACATCGCTTCCTTTACTGGGTGAGAAATGGCGAGATGGCGTAAACAATTTCAAAAAATCTAGGAATTTTTTTTCCTTCTATATGTTTGTTGGGGGAAAACCCAAGCTTCCCAACCCTTACAATGTGGAAGAGCTCGCTTTGTATTCGCTAGAGCTTAATTTTTCATTACCAGCAAACTAGGTCATCATAGGAATTTCGACATTACACTATCCTAAAGACACCAAACAAAGAAAAAATAGTGTTAAAAAAACAATTTCCAAGCAATTATAACTTTATAAAATACAACCGCGAAAGGAAAAGTTGCAGAAGGTAGATAATACACCTAGTCACAATCAAACATTCCTACAAAAAAAAATTCTAATCTCCAATTTTTACGCTAATTTCTTCTAGTAATTTGAGGTAAAGTGCGCCGCCAGCACACGCTTCCATTATGTTTATAAAAAATCTACCGTAACCAGTAAGTCGAG